GACACTAACATGATTTATATAGATTTTTCTAGTTCAATTGTTTTCTCAGCTTGGTCCATCATAAGAGTCATCTGGAGAACTTTTTGAAATACAGATTCCCTAGTCTACCCCTAAATATTGTGGTTCAGTAGGTTTAAGCCCAGGACATCTGAATTTTACAAGTTCCATAGGTGGTTTTGATGATCAAGTGAGTCTTCAAGTCACTGCAATTCTGATCTAGGGGCTCTCAAAGTGTTGTCTTTGAACCAAGAGCATCAGGGTCATCACCTGCAATCTTGTTGGGTATGTAAATTCCTGGAGTCCACCCTGGGTGTCCTGAACTAAAGGCTCTGTGGTTGGGGCCGAGCACTCTGGTTTAACAATACATTCAGAGGGAGGACTTCCGGTCAAGATGGAGGCGTAGGTAAATGCGGTACCTTGTCCTCCCAAAACCACATCAAAGTTACAATTAAACTACAGAACAACCATCATTCAAAACCACTTGAAATCAAGCTGAATGAAAGTCCTATAACCACGGAATTAAAGAAGCAGCCACACTGAGACTGGTAGGAGGGGTGGAGGCGCGAGGGGCGAGATGGACGGGCTGGTCCCACACCCACGTGTGGTGGATAAAAATCAGGAGGATACCTTAGCTGGGAAGGTCCTCCCTGAGGACTGAGGGGTCCCCATCCCACACCAGTCACCCCACTCAGGGTTCCCGTGCCAAGAAGAGAAGTCCCCATAACTTCTGGCTGGAAAAACCAGCAGGAACTGAGGCTCAGGGAAGCTGAGGCGGCTGGAGCCCCAGGCAGCTCCTCTTAAAGGGCCTGCGCATGAACGTATCAGACTCACTCCCTCTAAGCTTGGAGGGAAGGCAGCTCAAACACAGAGGGAAGAACTGAGCTGTTTGGCATTGGAGTGAGGGCTGGAGAGGGGGCTTTCTCCTGGAGAGACCTGCTGTCAGAGGCCTTTGTTCCTTTGTTGAGCCCTTCCCTGGGGCGGCAGACAGAAGCCATATCTGGGACTCCAGCAACCTGGCTCACACTGGTAGCCCCACCCTGGTGATTCCCTGAGGCCCCGCCTCACCCAACTCTCAGGCCCACCGAAGCTGTTGCCACTTGCTTAACCATAGGATTGGCCTGTTTTGGATCCTGCTTAAATTCTTTCAAACAAGCAGCATCTGGTCTCAGCTAGCCCGATACCTCTCATTAAGTAATACACTGAAACAAACAAAGGGAGGCAGCCAAAATGAGGAGACAAAGAAACAGGTCCCAAATGAAAGAACAGAACAAAACCCCAGGAGAAGAACTAAGTGAAATGGAGATAAGCAACCTAAGAGATGCTGAGTTCAAAACACTGCTTATAAGGATGCTCAATGAACTTAGTGAGAACCTCAGTGAACTTAGTGAGGGCCTCAAGAGCATAAAAAAGGACCAGTCAGAAATGATGGATGCACAGTCAGAAATGAAGGAGGCTTTAACTGAAATAAAGAATAATTTACACAGATTCAATAGTAGAGTAGGTAAAGCCAAGAAGCAAACCATCAATTTGGAATATAAGAAAGCAAAAAACACCCAATCAGAACAGCAAAAAGAAAAAAGAATCCAAAGAAATGAGGATTGTGTAAAGAGCCTCTGGGACAACTTCAAGCATGCCAACATTCGCATCTTGGGGGTGCCAGAAGGAGAAGAGCCAGAACAAGAGATTAAAAACCTGTTTGAAACAATAATGGCAGAAAACTTCCCTAACTTGGTGAAGGAAACAGACATACAAGTCCAGGAAACACAGAGAGTCCCAAACAAGATGAACCCCAAGAGGCCCACACCAAGATACATCATCATCAAAATGCAAAAGGTTTCAAGACAAGGAGAGAATCTTAAAAGCAGCAAGAGAAAAGTAGTTAGTTACCTACAAGGGAGTTCCCATAAGGCTATCAGCTGATTTCTCAAAAGAAACTTTGCAGGCCAGAAGGGAGTGGCAAGAAATATTCAGAGTGATGAAAAGCAAGAACCTACAACCAAGACTACTCTATCCTGCAAAGCTGTCATTTAGAATCGATGGACATATAAAGAGTTTTCCAGAGAAGAAAAAGTTAAAGGAGTTCACCACCACCAAACCGTTATTATATGAAATGTTGATGGGTCTTTTTGAAGAAAAAGATAAAATATATGAACAAACAAAATGGCAATGAATACATATCTATCGACAATGGAATCTACAAACAAAATGAACAGGCAGAACAGAAACATTCTCATAGATACAGAGAACATTTTGTTGATTGTCAGATGGGAGGGGGTTTGGGGGAATGGGTGAAAAAGTTGAAGGGATTAAGAAATACAAATTGGTTGCTAGACTGACAAACCTCAAAGGGAAGGGGGTTGGGGGCTGGAAAGAAATAAACCAAAGAACTTATATGCATAACCAATGGACACAGACAACAGTATGGTAAAAGGCAGGAGGGGGGCGGGAGTAGGGAAGAGGGGGTCAATGGGGGGAAAATGAGGAACATCTGTAATACATTCAACAATAAAGATAAAAAACAAAACAAAACAATACATTCAGGGGACTCTGCTGCATGCTAAAGTTTGAGAACCAAATCTGGTTTAATCTCCCATATTATAGTTAAGAAAACTGAATGCATACAGAAGGGACATGTCTTGAGGTTAACAAAAATTGACGAGGCCAGGAGGCATCCATTCACTGAGCTCTGGTGTTTCAAGGGGAGAATATTCATAGCTTCTGTCTAGAGAAACCTCAGATTACTATATATGTGAAAACAAGGCTCAATGATACATGATCCTGTTGATGTAAGAATGTCCAAATCTATAGAGAATTTTCAAGAGAGTTTATTTTAGCCAAACCAATGATGTATTCTGGGAAACAAAATCTCAAATGCTCCGGAGAATAACAGTTTTTCAGCTTTTGTTGCATTTGAAATTAAGCAGGGAACATGAGGAAAATTACCTGGGGGCAGGAAGAAAGCAAGGCAGGGGTTAGATTATGTACTCTCTTGAGGGTTAATATTCCCTTTGACGGTGATTATGTCTGGTATTTCAAAGGTATGCTAACCCAGATGCATAAAGAGCATACACAGCCCACTTAAAACCTTCTACTAAAGTTATAGCCCTGGGGCATGACTGCCCACCATGATTTGCCTGGTTAGGAATTTTTTATCAGATCACCTTGTTAGGTTACTTTCCAGAGAAACTTCTCTCATCCACAATCCAGTGACCCAATTTACAGTACAAAATGCCAAAGGGGTCCTTTTTCAGGAATGCAGATGAGGGAATATCAAAAGAGTTGTAGCACTTGTGGACAGAAAAGGAGCCACAAACTAAACCTAATAAACTCAGGGGAGGCCTGTATGGTAGTTTTACAAACTCAGAGACCATATGCTGATAACTGTTGAAGTTGAGTGATGGGCAAAAGAGGGTTCATTATTTTCTCTACTTTTATATATATTTGAAAATTTCCATAATAAAAAGTTAAACAAAAATAAAGTGCCTGGGAACAATTCAAGGGAAAAAATTCAGTCTCAGGGTAGACATATGAAACAGAAAACTTTTGGAGGTTGGAGACTGGGTGGGGAGGTGGAGGGATTGAACAAAAAGGAAAAAAGAGAAGAAAAAACTCATGGACAAGAGTGTGGTGATTGCGGGGTCTGGGGAAGAGGGAGGTGGAGAAGGTTACAGGGGTATAAATTGTGATGAATAGAGATTTCGCTTAGGGTGGTGAACACACAATACAGTGCACAGGTGATGTATTGTGGAATTGTTCACCTGAAACCTGTATACTTTTGTTAACCTGTATCACCCCAATAAATTCAATCAAAACAAAAATAAGTAAAACAGAAATAGTCCTTAGCTCTTAGAGATAAAAAACAAAAACAACAACTCAGAGAGATCTCAAGAGAAGCAAAAAATCTGGGAGTGATTAGGAGGTGGAAAGTTAACTGAAGCCTTCAGAGGAAAAAGAAAAAAGAAAAACAAAACCAAAAAGAAGTGAAAACAGAAAAAAGAAACAAACAAACAAAAAGAATAAAGGGAAAAAAAGAGTAAATGAGGTCACTTAGGAATAAACAAGAGAAAGGAAGTTAAGTTAGAATCCTGAGTAATACCAACAGTTAAGGGGATGGCAAAGGAAGCGTTGCTAATAAGAGAGTGAGTCATGTAGGCCAAAAGAAGAACGTGTTCCAAGCAGGAGATATTGTCTGTGTTGTCAAATGCTGCTGAGAGGTCAAGAAGGGAAGAGCTGATCAACATCTTTTGGGATTTAGCCAGATGAAAATCATTGGTGACTTTGGTGCGAGGCTTACCATCTCCACGTGCTCTAAATGTTATTAACTAATCCTGTACCAACCAAAGTAAAAGAAGTATGTGTCTCTCATTTCATTTTTTACCCAATCCCAGAGATTTGCCCGTTTGGCTTTTCTCCTGCCCCTTAATCTACTACCAATAAAGTTTACGTAACTCTCTTTATGGCTCTTCCTTTTATTCTAATACACAAAACTGCCATTCTCTAGAGCATTTTCTCAGTCCCTTGAGATTTTGTTTCCTAGCCATTGTCCTCAGTTTGGCTCAAATAAATGCATAAAAATTCTCTACAGGTTTGGACGTTTCTTACAAAGACAATTATCACAACCTTAAATGACCAGAAAAAAACATGGAGTGGGGGTGGTGTGGGGGAGGGCAAGTATAAATATGTAATAATTTATTATTAAGAATCGCCTCATTTTGATTTACAAAGAAGTTCCAGGTCTCAGGAGCCCGGCACACTTTGTAAATTTCACAGGCTAGCGGTCTACCTTTTCCCGACCTCCTTCCCGCCCTCTCCTCCTCCCTTTTCACCTCCTTCAGCCCTCCCAGTGGCCCTCTCCACCCCTCCCACATCCCGCCTCCCCTCCGGGTCGGGAGGCTGGGAATCCCGGACTGGCACTGGCCCGCAGGGAGCCCGCTGCCCTCGGTCACCGCGTCCACTTCCGCCCGGGAAGGAGGCGCCTCCCACTCGGCTCCCCTCTGACTGTGGCTCTGGGTTCTGCGGGGCTGCGGGGCTGCGGCGCTGCTCTCTCCGGGTCTCACCTCCCGCGCGGTGCACCGTTTCCAGGCGGCGACGAGGTACGTGCGCTTCCCGGGCACAGAAACGAGCCCCATGCTCCGCTCCACTAACTCGATCGGGTGTGTGCACGAGGCTAAGAAGGTCTTTGCCATGTGCACAGGTAATGAGCCTGTCACGTCCATTTTCAAAACCTGACTTTTATCAAAGCAGTACATTGTTATTGCAGAAGAGCACCCCCACCATTCCACCTGAGCACAGTTTCCTGAATTGTTTAGCCATACATTTAAAAAATAGTTGAAATCATACTGTATATAAACTTGTGTTCGTTTTTTCACAAAGGCTTGTCAGAAGTCTTTCCTTGTGCCCTTAAATACTCTTTGTAACTATTTTCCTACAGTGAAACATTTTGGTTGTATAGTTTTTTACTACCAGTAGAAAGCTGTGGGGGGAAATGAGCATATTTGCGTCAAGATGACTGTCCATATTTGGCAGTATTTTTTAAGGGTGGATATTAAGAGAGGAGGTACTGGTGCTAGGAGTGTGATGTCCTGGCTGCTGGGTACTTGTTGCCAAGAAAGACACAGTACACACCCACAGCCGTATGGGTCGGGAGGCAGAAGCGTCGCCTTGCCCAGGCATTGCTAACATTGGGTACTGCCATTTAGGTTTCTCGCTGATGGAAAATGCCACCTGTTGCCGTCAAAGCCCATTTAAAATGAGGTGGTCAGAAGTAAGCCTTGCAGAGTATCTGGGTAAATCCTATCTAGGCCTGGAACCGCCCAAGAAAAGGTCAAAGGCAGCTGCATAATTGTTGCGTTCTCAGGCCAGCGTGTGCTCATCACATCTAGCTTTCTACTTGATGCTGTCTGGACCAAGTACCTTGCAGAAAATACAAGCATGATTGCTGAAAAAATAGATAATTGGAAGTGACGGTCATAGAATCATCTAAGGAGAAGTAGGGCCCTGTCTACCCCTGCAAGATTGAAAATCAGTTCCCAGGCACGTTCCTACAATGTTTACCCAGTAAAGGAAAAACGCCCAGCCTTCCCAAGTAGCCACCGCCCTTCAGTATTATCTTTCAGTGTTGCTTTTGTAGCCCTTGCAGGTGGTTTCTATTTCTAAATCTCCGAAGCTTCCAGAAATTTATTTCTAGACTTCTTTGCTTGTTAAAACCCCATCTTCGCCAATCCCCTTCGCTTGTCAAAATCTATTCTCTACTTTTCTGGCGGTGATCTTTATTGCGTAGGGATGTATGACTTCCAAGTTATTTAGATCCTTGGGGGTGTGAAAGCAGGAAAACCACATTTGCTCACCATCCTTTACCACCCGTTTCTCGCCTATCTGACTTCCTGTGAGAAAAAGGGAATGTCGTTCAATTATACTGTTAGAAGATAATTTTCAGCAAAAGGTGAAGTCATTACTCTCGTACAGATATAAGAATGTGCACGTATTAAAGGTTCTGTTTTATTCATGAAAGAGGGAACCAGGCAGATATTATCACTGGTAAAAAAAGAAGTCAACCTGGCCAGTTTGGCTCAGAGGTTGGAGCATCGGCCTGCGAACCAGAGAGTCCCGGGTTCGGTTCCCGCTAGGGGCATGTGCCAAAAAAAAAAAAAAAGAAGAAGTCAAGAAGCACACATTTCTGTGGAGGAGAGGAGAGGAGCCAGGACTGGCAGCTTCTTGGGATTTGCAGATCAAACACGCACTGCTGATCTCCATGGGTGTTGACTTGTAATTTTATGGAGACATTTGCTGTGTGAAGCAGGGCTGGAGGCTGTTCAAGAAAAAATTATTAATTCATTACACTTGTTAAAGATTGTCAGGACAGCCTAGCTGGTGTGGCTCAGTGGTTGAGCATCAACCCATGCACCAAGAGGTCGCCAGTTCGATTTCCGGTCAGGGCACATGCCTACGTTGTGGGTTAAATCCCCATTGGGGGGCATGCAGGAGGCAGCCAATCTATGTTCTCGCTCATCGATGTTTCTATCTCTCTCTCCCTCTTTCTTTCTTTTGCTCTCCAAATCAGTAAAGAAAAAAAATTTTAAAAAAAGATCGTCAGGACAGATTTTATTTAGGACCATCGAGACAGGTGTAGGTACCACTGCAATGGGATTTTGTAGTAGGAAATCCATTGGGTTCAACTCTGAACACAACAAAGAAAAGTGGGGATTTATAGCCAAGAAGCAGAGTAGGGGGTCAGTGGGTGGAAAATTACTGAGGAAGCATCAGGGTTAGGGGAATCCAGCTAAACTGACTTGACAGGACATTTGGCAGAAGACAAAGCCAAGGTGATCAGATATCACCTGGGAGATGTCGGAAGGAAAGGATCTGAATCAGATATGGAGGGTCTGGATCAGATATGGAGGATGGAGGATTCTGCTAAACTGACTTAGCAGGATTCTTACTAAAGTGGACAATGCAGAGACGAACTTGGAAGCCCAAGTTAGGTTGTAGGTGAGAAGAGGGTTCAGAGGAGTTTGGTCAAGGAGAGAATCTTTGTCAAGGGACCATCAGTCTGCAGGGGGTGGGCTTGGTAGGCATTCACACAGGTGTGGTATCTTGGTGAATATTATGGGGGAATCACAGGCATCAGTGTGAATTTAGTGTGGCACTGCCATTGAATGTGCCCATCAGGGTGTCCTCTGCAGGAGCATGTCTTCACCAACCCTGGTGCCATAAAGAGGCCCCTGACTTCCAGAGGCTTCAGCAGTGGGGACCAAAGATCAGCTCTTAGGGTGGCAAGGATGTGTTGCCAAGTCCACCTGCCATGATTCAGAAAAGCCTTTCTGGATACACATTTTAGGAGGACCCCACCATACATGTCAGACTGAAATCATATCACTCACAATGAATGGCTCTATAAGGTCATATAGAAAAAAACTGTTTTAATGGAAAAATACCCATTGTACACATCCTTCTGGGCTGTATGATTTTAGCCCTGTTCATTGTATGTAAATGATTTTGCAATTCCTTGAAAGTTATGGGTTAACTGATAGATTTGTAAATTCTGTCCTGTCTCGTAGAGAATTAATTGGCTTCTTCCCTTCCGTGGAAAATCAGTTTTATCTCCACTTTCATTTCATCTCAGTCTTCCCTAACGACATATAAATTTGTGTTCTTTTCTTTTTCCCTTTGAACCAATTATATACCATCTGTCTCATTCTCTCTTATCATATGTGTAAAATAAAATCTTTAATGAGTTCATTTTTATATCTATAAGGGTTATGGTTTTACTTTTTTCTCAAAATTACCTTTTGACAAATGTGTCATTTGATGGGAAGGAGCCGAAATCCTAAAAGTTATATGCATATAGAAAATGTATTTATAGTACAGTCAGTAGAGCATCAAGGGTATGTTCCTTGAGGCTCTCACCCCAAGGGGTACAGTCTGTAGAAACTGCCCTGCCCACCATGACCTTGGCCCTGGTCACACAGGCTGCTGTGCAACGTGAAGGGTCTGGCAGGAGCCCAGCCTTCCATACACAGCAACCCAGGCCTGTCCTGGCCACGTCCCCTTTCTGCAGTAGAATAACCTTGCAGGATCAGTCCAGAGGGTGGGTCTCCTGGTTGTAAACATTCCTTTTGGAAAGTGGATATCAACTGAAGATAAAGTGAAAAGATTCAGATTCAAGGCTAATTTGGAATGGCCAGGATTTTCTGTGATTTTCTCGTCCTCAGGACAGCCCAGGTAAGAAATCGGCCCCAGGAATCAGTTAACAACAGTACAGTGGACATAAAATTCACTATTACTGATATTGGATTGTTCTGACTTTCCTTACTAATCATAATTCTATATTGTAGCTTATGAACAACAACAACAACAACAACAACAAAAACCATAAAAAATAGAGTCGTTTCATCTGATCAAATGGCTAGCTTTTAATTTCTCCTTAAAATTGTTGTTATATTCTAGTTATGAACATTTAGAATGTTCTGCAAACTATATGATATAACAACCACCCATATTCACAACCCAGATTTCTAAAAACATTCTTTTTTTTCTTTGTACTTCAAATCAAAACTTTAAAAAGTTTGTATTGATTTTAGAGAGGAGAAGAAAGGAGAGAGAGAGAGAGAGAGAGAGAGAGAGAGAGAGAGAGAGAGAGAGAGAGAGAGAGAGAAATATCAGTGAGAGAGAAACATCGATTGGCTGCCTCCTGCACATTCCCTACCGGGGATCGAGCCCATACCAGGGCATATGCCCTGACCAAGAATCACCTGGCGACCTCCTGGTGCATGGGACGAATGTTCAACCAACTGAGCTACATCGGCCAGGGCTAAATCAAAACACTGTAAGAAAATAAAATATAACAAATACAATTAAAGCCAGCAATATCCTTCCCCCACCAATAACCACTGTCTAATAGTGGTGTTTTATTCTCTTGAGTTATATTTTTAAAACCCAATATTTATTAATAAAATATGTCTTATTTGGGGGTTTTAGTATTTACTTAGCATCAAAAAAGCTATTGTCTTTGTTATAGCATTATGTTTTTGAGATTTATATATATGAGTATATGGTGGATTTTTTTGTATCCTAGTGTTGCCATAACCAATTATCACAAACTGAGTGACTTCAGACAACAGAAGTTTATTCTCTCAAAAATTTATTCAGTTGTGGACGTCTGATGTCCTAAAGGAAGGTGTGGGTAGGACCGTGCTCTTCCTGTAAAGGAGAATCCTTCCTTGCCTCTCTCCCAGCTTCTGATGGTTGCTGGCCATCCTCATTGCTCCTTGGTTTGTAGATGCATGACTCCAACCCCTGTCCCTGTCTTCCTTCTCTCCTGTGTGTCTGGTCTCTATATCCAAATTTCCCTTTTCTGATGACAACAGTCATTAATTTTTTTAGCACCCACCCTCATCCAGGATGACCTCATCTTAACTTGATTACTCTCTTCAAAGACCCCTTTAATGAATAAGGTCCCACTCACAGATTCTGGGGTTAGGACTTGACCTGTCTTTTTTGGAGGTCAGAATTCAACCCACAACAATTAATGAATTACAGTTTATTCCATTCTCCTCCTGATGGTCAGATTGCTTCCAATTTTTGCCATTACATC